TTTTTTTGACATTTTTTATTTTTTTATTTTTTTTAAGTAAAACTAAAATATTTAACTTTCCTTTGTGAATTATTTGAAAAAAAATCTAACAAATAAATGAAAAAAATAATACTTAATCAAATAAGAAGTCAAGAAGACAAAGGCTCAAAGTGAGTGAATAACAAATTGGAAGAAAAATATGAATTTTATTTCATTTAAATTTGAATGATACAAAGCATACAATGGTTGGATGAATGAAAAATGAAAATCAGAAAATAGAATAAATTAATAAAATATAAAAAATACAATATAGTTACAAATTGAAAATAAAAATTATGTTATTAAAAAATATCAAATAAATTAAATAAAATTAAAACAAATTTTACAATAATTTGAAAAAATGCTATACAACTATTGAGTATATAAAAAATATTTACTTCATCATTTTCTCCTATTGTTCTTAACTTTGATCATTATAAGAATTGAAAATGGTGAAGGATATGGCTATTTATAAGAATTGAAAATAATTCAATTGCCCAAAATACCCTAAAACTAGTTGTTTTTTAGTTGTTTAGAGGGGTATTTTGATCATTGTAAAGTTATTTATCACTTTACCCAAAATTCCCTTCCAAACTAGCTGTTATATAGCTATTTGAGGGTATTTGTGTCATTCTTTCTCCCCCCAAAACCAAAATACATAAATACTCCCTATATAGTTGTTTAGAACTGTTGGGGGTATTTTTGTAAAAAACCCCCCTATATAGCTACAGGTTCATGGGCCTCGTGTTGTGCCAGGTCAGGTCATGCTAGGCCATGGGCGGTACGGCGCGATTTACACCTCTAGGTTGGATGACAATGGAGTTGAAATGGGTGGCAGAGATGGAACTGAAAGTGTGTGGCCAGAACCAACCATCATGTGTGTATGACACTGAGCTGGAGGGGGTGGTGGAAATGGTGGAAACACTGTTACTGGCATGACTCACACCTCCTTCTCTTCCCTTTGTCTGGTTGCCCAAATCCCAATTCTCACTAGTGATTGTCTCTAGAAAAGAGTAGTTTGGTCATTTAAAAAACTTTAAACAGTCAATAATTTTTTTCGAAGTTGGCTAACGGAATACTAACGGAGGAATCTTTGTCTAATGACCAAAGTTCAGGGTCATCTTTGTCACAAAAAAAAAATAAAAAGTGCAGAGCCCATGGGGGTCCGTCTAATTTACCCAAACTTGAATCTTGAGCATGTAAGTGAATTTGCATCAGTACCCCATAGCCCATCCCAGTCGTGTATTGAAAACATTTTCCCATGGGAAATATTCCCAATACACGTTGAGATGTACCTGTGGTACGCCAACCAGTAAGAATTCCTTCCCTTTAGGCTCACACCGTTTTCTCACTTCCAATCCACACATATACAGCACCGTTTTTTCTATATACAAGATTTCATTTCAAGGGAACATCGATATAACCAAAGTGCTCTTCAACACCAAAATTCAGATTGATATACTGAGTAAATGAATTAAAAAATAACCGGAGAAATCTTTCCAATCAATTTCTTGAGTCGGTCTTTTTTCTCGTCTTATTAAGAGACCGGGATTTTGGACGAGAGAGAGAAACAAGAGGCTTAGCATAAGGTCTTTTTTCTCTAATATAAAACTTTTGAAAAAAAAAATGGAATATGAATTTAAGCAGGGTTTAGGAAGAATACAAATGCAAATATGTATACTGCAAAGCTTTGCATATTGTATTTCCAGACCTGGCATTTTACATTTGTACATATTTAAGAAGAGTACAATAACAAATATATAGAATACAAATACATACATACAAAATAAAAGGTTTTGGACTCCTTCCAAACTGAGACTTATAACAGGGCAGAAATTCTAACCATCCCCTCCCCTGATTCCACAATTGCCGCATAAAATTTTAGAATATAATCTACTGTTGCATTGGCATTTTAACAAAAGCGGGCACAAATGAAAACAGTATTTTGCCCGTTTATGCCAAAACGCTGATGTAGGTAATTATTTAAATGCAATGGCAGATAAAAACACCACGGTGCAAAGTGTTACTTTTTGGGTCGTAGATAGGGGTATAAACGTATTGAATTCTAAACGGATCAAACAATATTCGAATCCGAATCCAAATCCAAATCGGTATTCAACAAATATTAAAAATTAATATCCAAATTCAAATCTAATTAAATATTCGATTAATTAATTATTTTAGATGATTAATAAATATATAAAATATTATATAAAGTATATAAATATATAAATTATATAAAATATTTTATATATTATATATAATAATTAAATAATCGATCGAATTTGGATATTTATCAAATTGAATCAAATCATATCCGATTAACTATTCAGTAAGAATAAGATATCCGAATTTGACCGATTAAATATTCGAATTATCAAAATTCAATTCAATTATACTGAATATAAATCGAATTTTCGAATATCGTTGACACCCCTCGTAGACTCGTTCGTAGTGGGGGGATCAAATGGTATTAGAACATGAAATGAAGGCCATTGTAAAGAGCATTCTCGAACCCACATTAAAAATAAAAAATGTGAGGACATTCAGACTAATAGAATACTCCATTCCATTCCGCTACTGGCTTTCGAAAATTAAAACTATACGCAATAAAGTATATATCTCTATATACACAAATGATGTAAGCATCGTGGCATATAAACACTGTTATTAGAAAAGATTCATTTCATTATACATGCAACTTGCTAGGAAATCAATCGGCCTTGTTTTCATTCGTTGGACGTGCTTCAAATCCCCCACCTGCTCTCCTTTCAAGTGAATAAGGCATGTAGGTTCCAAGAATTCTATCCCACATAACAAAGAACGGCTGTGAAAAGTTGTACTTGCTGCCGTATAGCTGATGGTGGACATCATGATATGCAGTATTGTTGCTAAAGAATACGTGGAACAAATTCCCAGGAAGCCATAACCCACAGTGGTCATCAACTGTTTTCATGGTGGCAAAGGAAAAGAAGAAGATGGAGGCTCGGGGAGACATACCAGAGAGTAGGAAAGATAGGGCCCCACCTATAGTGTCTAGAAGAAGCCCTTCTAAAGGGTGGTTGTATAGAGCTCCAAAGGCATATGGTACAACAAGCCGATGATGTTGAGAATGAATATGCCGGTACAAGAACTTGTGGTGGTGCATGTATCTGTGCATAAAATATTGCCATGTATCTAAAACCAGCATTGCAATCAAGAATTGCCTTGCTAGGACAATGAAGTTCAGTTTCAGATCCTTGGCTGTCTCATTATCATTTCCTGTTACCTACACCAGCAAACAAGACTTACTTTATAATCGAGGCCCAGCTGCCATGCTCAAATCAGTAATAACAAGTAATTGCTCATGTAGGCAGTCTGGTGGTGCATTTGTAATTACAAATTTGACTCGAGTATCACCGATAAATGTTTAATAACATAATAATGGACAAGCAGCAGAACCCATGCAAAGATCATACCTAGCCCAGTGCATGAGACTCGCACTGGAAGAAACAACCATCACATCTATATAGTCATTTATCAAACCACCTAAATAGAAGGTTACGCCACTGTCTAGAAGACCAGAAATCTGGATTTGCCTTTTAACGTATCCCTTACTGGCTACTGATCATATGATAGATCCCAGCTACTGCATGCAATGTCATGGTATTTCATCTATGGAATTTGCAGATATTCCATCCTAGGGATAAATGACCTCCCAAAGCACCAAATAGCTGGGACCAACATTGAGTAATGACCTTAACCTTCCGGTTTAAGCAGCATCAGTAAAAGCCAAGTAGGAGGAAAATTTGTTATGTTTTTTTTATAAGAAAAAATTGATATGCTTAGCATTACGGTCTTGAAAACATGGGGTCCAACTTAATAAATTGGATATCATGATCTCACCTGATACCAACAAGGCCACAAGTTCAGAATTGCTATAATACTCTTCAGTAAATGAAGTTAAACAAATATTGGTAAACCAACTTTAGCTACCATTCCATGTGAATTTCACACCATTTTAAGTAGTATAGAAATTCCTAAGTTGTGACCTTGCAGGTATCAGGTAGGATCCTGATATCAATTTATGAAGTTGGACAATATTGGACAATCTACTTTAGATACTTTTCATGGGCACATATTACTTTGAGCTACATGACTCAAGCAACAAATGGGGTCTCAATGCATGGGCACATATTACTTTGGCAAGATGCAGCATAGCTGTCTGCTTCTTCTTTCAGTCAACAGAACATTAATTCTATTTGCAGAACGAAGCCACATCAAGAGTATATCCAACAGAAGAAATATTTGTTCAATAATAACTTAGAGAGAGACCAAGCATGTCAGAAGCATGTGCATACATATAGAGAGAGAAGCAGATAGCAAACAAATTTTAACCTTCTAAAGTGGACCCTAATGTAGTTTGTTGAACACAACCTACAAAAACTTAGTTTATTAAGTGCACGTGATAATGTATAACCTGTTTGAATTGTTCTTGCTTTAGCATTTTCATTTCTAATTTTTTCCTTGTTTACATTTATTTTCAACATACTATATACACAGTATGTGTCAATGTAACATCTCAATCCTTGTATTCTCCCATCAGACTTTGTTGAAAAAGAAAGATACTACAAATCCTATGTCACTCCTTTCAGTCGTGCTTTGCAATTACTTAGCACATAGAACCTCAATCCGATGCATTGATCTTGTACTGAAGATAAACTATACAAGTCTTAAAAACAAACAACTTTTGTAAGCAAATGATACTTATTAAGCCAATAAAAAAGAAAGGGGGATATGAACCTTAGTTCTTCAAATAAAAGGCAGCAGATGTGACTTGTTCACTCAGCCTGAGAATCTTGCAGAAATCTCTTGCTAGTGAACATACAGCCAGTAGTATTTCATAACCAATCCACTGAAAACCCTCTCTACCCATATATACTCTGATTACTTCATCTGATCTTCCCATTTACAAATAGAATTTTTTTTCCTCCTACGGTGCTCCCATTCAGTCACAATAGCAAGTGTTTCAATTGCCACAACAATAGCATTAACCACGGTTGAAGACCTGATTTCTCCTAACCTTTTTATATGTAATTTATCTCATTAAGTTCATTTAAGAGTATGTCCTTTTTGGGGGTGTTCATCTAACATAAAGAGAGAAAGAGAAACCCATTCCAGTTCTCATCACTGCCATGAAGAATCTCTGATTGCTCAGCCATGCTTGGGAGGTGTATCTTGATCTGAGTCATGACTCCTAAAATCATCATTCAATTAGTCTCACTCTAGATACGAACTTCCTTTCTAAAATAAGCATTTAAAGATTGAGAATTATATTCAACCTACAAACCGTTTGATAATTAAGAGGTAAATAATGACATAATATTTATTACAATTCTTGATCTGTGGAGAGGCTGGAGGGATAAGAAGAAAAAATACATGCTGGTCAGCTGGTCAAAGATTTGCAAATCCAAACTTCAAGGGGGTTTGGGTGTGAGAAGAGTGGAGGACCTCAATTCTGCTTTACTGGGAAAATGGTTTTGGAGGTTTGGTGAGAATCAAGGTGGTCTATGGAGGAGGGTGATAGCAGCTAAGTATGGGCTTAGGAATTCTGGTTGGGTTACAGGGGAGTCAAGCCAATCCTACGGATGCTCTGTTTGGAAAAGGATTGAGAAAGTTCAGGGTCTTTGCTCAAACAGAATACTCTTCAGGGTTGGGAATGGACTGCAAGTATTTTTCTGGAAAGATAAATGGTGTGATAACAGACCTCTGATGGATATTTATCCCACCCTGTTTGAAATAGCTTCAGATAAAGATGCTCTTGTTTCAAACTATTTGCATGTGCAGAACGGAAGCATTGTTTGGATGCCTCTCTTTAGGCAAAATTTGAATGATTGGGAAGTGAAATCTCTGGTGGATCTGCTGCACAGACTGTATAGTTCTCAAGTGGATGCAGGGAGGACAGAAGAATTTGGAAGTGGGAGAATTCAGGGGTTTTCTCTGTTAGATCTCTTTACAATTACTGCTCTAGATCAGAGTCGTCAATCCCAGTTAACATTGTGTGGTGTAAGAGTGTGCCCACAAAGGTGGCTTTTTTTTGGACAGCCTACTTGAACAGGATTCTAACTAGGGATAATTTGGAGAAGAAGGGTATGCTGTTGGACTCGACTGATTGTGTGCTCTGTCAGAATCATGCTGAGTCAGTCAACCATTTGTTGTTCCACTGCTCTTTTTCTTTTGAGATTTGGATCAAGGTCAAGAACTTGTTTGAGGTGAAAATTTGCCGCCCTGAATTGGTAGCAGATTTTGTGAAGAGTTGGAGCATCAAGGGCCTCACAAAAGAAGGAAAGTTGGCATGGACCCTGACTCCTGCTGCAGCTTTTTGGTGCATTTGGCAGGAGAGAAATGCAAAGATTTTCAAGAATCAGCACAGCTCCACAGATGCAGTTTTTCAGAAAATTTTGGGAAAATGTTCTCTTGGTTAGCAGTAAATAGTGTGTTTAAGGACAGAAATTTTAGTTCCTTTTTTTGCGGTTAGGAATATTTTTGTAAATCAGGGTTTGGGGGTATAGATCTGTTTGGGCAATTCTGTGTAAATCCCTGTGTACAACTCCTTGTTGTACATGTTTTTTGCTTTTAATTAATATTATACTTTGCCTGTTCCAAAAATAAATAAAAAATCCTGATCTGTTATTAATCAAAAACAACAGGTAAATAATAATAACAATATGGTTTAGAAAAAAAAAAAAAAAAAGTTAGGGTGGGGTACAGGAGAGGGAGAAGAAAAGAGTAACAGATAAGTCAAGATTGTGGAGTAGGCAACTTTTGACACGTGGGATGGGAATCACCGGAAGTGAAAGATGAAGCACCTGTTAATTTCCCTCCTTTATCTAATCAATTAAGTTAGAAGAATTAGTAGAGTTGGTGGCATCACTGCATTTATCTTCAAATGTAAAAAAAATGGCTATGAGATCAGCAATGCCATACAGAGCAGGCAAAGTATATTAATAGAATAAGTGTAACCAAGATGAAAATGTCAAATGGATGAATAATAATTGCATCAGAGGTAACCCAGGTGTAGCTCCAAAAGGTGATTTAAAGCCAATTGCAACAACCTACCAGCATGTAGTGAACACCACAAACGGAGCCACTGAATAGGATTGGAAGGATTCAGGCCGAAAGCCGTAAAAAGGTCAAAGGGAAGGCCAAAAAGAATTTCCGTTGATGCTTTAAGGGAATATATAAACACATGCACTTTAACATATCAAACCTAGAAGGTATGTAATGAGAAAACAGGATTCCTGTAGACAAAAGCAAATAGCTGGAATAAGGCTTTGCTAAGATGATGAATAGTCATTCCAAGCATTCCTATGTAAGGTATATTGTCTGCAATGGTAATTCTGTGCTTTTTTGGGAAGATGTTTGGGTGGGCAACCAACCATTAAAAGACCTCTATCCCTCCCTTTTCTATTTCCCTCTATAAAAAGGAGCCTGTTTTGAGGTTTCTTTCTCCCCCCATTCTCCCATTGTCTCTTAATTGGGATTTTGGGTTCCGTAGAGGGTTGAGGGATGAGGAATCGGTTTCTGCCTCTAAGCTCTTACTTTTACTTGATTTTATTTGTTTGGACCCTCCTAAACCAGATAGAAGAATTTGGTCTTTGACCTCGAGTGACTCCTTCTCTTGTTCTTCCTTCTTTAAGTCCCTTTGCTCTACTCCTTCCCCTTTGTTGTTCCCACTTAAAGAAGTCTGGTCAAGACCAATTCCACCTAAAATTGCTGGTTTTTGTTGGAAAGTGTATTATGGTAAAATTAATATTGTGGACAATGTACAAAAAAAGAGACATTATTCATGCTTGTCCCCCAATTGGTGCATTTTATGTAAAGTGCAAAATGAGGACTGTTATCACCTACTGATTTCTTACTCTTTTATAGTAAATATTTGGAATTGGATTTTTATGCTGTTTGGGAACAGGTGGAACCTACCTCCTGAAGTAAATCTGCTTTTTAATCCGTCTTTTTTTGGTTGGCCAACAAAGAGAGGGAAAGTAATGTGGAAATGTATTAGGGCAGCCCTCTTATGGACCATTTGGGAGGAAAGAAATGCCAGAATTTTCCAAGAGGAGAGAAGCATTGCTGAAATAAATGATTGTATACTGACAAGGGCAATCCTTGGGCTAAAAACTACTGATCTCTTTGCGGATTACTCTAGTGATGACCTTCAAAGGAGTTGGGCAGCAATGGCCTCCACATCATCCAAGAAAAATAGAACACAAGCAAGTTGGTTACCCCCTCCGGAAGGAGTTGTAAAGTTGAACTTTGATGGGAGTAGTCAAGGCAATCCAGGACCTTCGAGTATAGGAGGGATCTTGAAGAATAAGGATGGCAACATTCTGTCCTTATTCTCAGGTCCAGTGGGTTATGGAGACTCTACAAAGGCCGAGATATAGGTTGTGGTACAAGTACTACAGATTTCCAACCAACTTGGAGTGACTATTTTGATAGTTGAAGGAGACTCTAAGGTGGTAGTGGGATGGATGTCGGACCGAGAAACTGTTGTTTGGGGATATAGGGACATCATCAAAAAAGTCAAATGGCTTACGAGAACCATGTCAGTTAGCTTTCAGTGGGTTAGTAGATCAGCAAATGCTTTGGTAGATTCTTTAGCTAAACAAGGGGCTTCAAGGGATTCTCTATTTTTGGCTAATTTGTAACTGCAATCTGAAAAGAGTTGGGTTTGGAACCACCCTTAAGGGGAGGTAACACCTTGTGCCTCCTCTTAGGGTGCTTCATGCTAGTACTATTTTTATCTCTATTTAATAAAATACCATTCGTTCATCAAAAAAAAGCATTCCAATGTAGTTAGAGAGAGAGAGAGAGGTTGGGATGTTTACATAAAAAACATTTCCAACTTATTGATTGGCAAGTGCTTATGTAGTCAATTACTGAACTCTAGTGTTCCATTCAATAAAAAAAATGTGAAGGGGGAAGATAGAAAGAGAGTTTCTCCACACACACATGGGCTTACTTGCAATCTAATTAATTACTTTCTAAGGACACCTTGTTGAATTGTGTTTCTTTTCTAGTTTGTTCATTTTCCATGTTACAGATGGGTTGTTAGAACTTCAATTTTAAAGATTTTGTGGTTCTGGGACTCCATGATCAATTTAATGTGAAAAAGGTTCCATATTTGAGTCTAAACATTACCTTAGGTCCAGAAAAATACAAAAGTGTCATAAGGATGTTCCGGGCATTCAATGACCAGTAAAATAGCTTGGAAGGATAGTTAACTCCCATAAAAGGGGAATGGATTTACACCAGTTTACACAATGGAACAATGTTATACAGCTTCACCAGGAATGGATTTCCACCTTCCTCCCAAATCTTCCAGTTGAATTCCACTTGTTTTACAAATTCTCTCATTCTTTGGCAAAGAACTGAGGAGGATTCACAGTTTGAGAAACTAAATGAAATGGAGACCAATTAAGTCACTACGACCAAAGGAAGGGCCATGAACTCCAACTATAGGATAACACAAGCATTTGATTATGTGAGTTACTGAGTTTTTTTGTTTTTTGTTTTTTGGCAAGTTATTGATTTGGAGTTGCAAGCATAATGGCATCCAATTAGGTACAGTATCAACAGAGTGCAGGTCCATTTCCGGTGACAGATTTTGAATCTCACCCTCCACGACGTCCACGTCCAAACAAAAGCCTAGTACAAATATCACTCCACCTTGAAATAATTTGTTTATTGGTAGCAAGGTTTATCAAATGGAGGCCAATGGCATAATAGAAAACATGTGGTGGGAAAATGTAGAATCCAAGTCCTTTTGAATAGGGAAAGTATAGAAACACCATTTCCAAAAAGAATATCCACCTCTCAATTCTTTCACAAGATAATAGTTGAGCATCCAATGCAAACAAAAGCAAGTACATGTGCTATGAATGTCCTAGGGAAAAATAGAAGGCTCCCTTCAAATTATGGTTTCACTCAATATATCTTTGGAAAGATCTTTCATAGGCTACACTGATACAGATAAAATGCTTCAGATCAAGCACTATTATAGGAATTTGTCTTAAAAATTCAAACCTATGCCAAATTATTGAAGTAAAAATGGGAGCCCTCCATCAATAAAATATGAAAATACTCTCTTTGAACACAAATTCCTTCTCTCACTTTGACCTGATGTGGATTCCTTCTTGCTAAGATTTCATGATTTTTTGGATCAAAGAGAGAGAGAGAGAGAGAAATTTTATCTCAACATTCAAGAAACTTTCGAGAGATTTGTTTCTACCAAAAAGAAGTTTTATGCTCCAAGTCAAACAAGCAATGAATTAGCTCTTGCCAAGTAAGTCCCATGATTGACATCATGGTTCCAATAAGAACCCACTAAAATTTAACTAAAGGCAATAGTAAATTGGGGTTATATTATTGATTCCCCCACCTTGTAAATTTTTATTGGTTTGTACAGTTGTGACAGGTGAGGAAATCTAGCAAAATACATGGGGGGAATACTGTATCATAGGTGGGAGTTTTGGTAAATAAAACTAGAAAACCAATAAAAATTTATGAGGTGGGTCAAACCATAAATTTCCCTTAGTAAATTTAAAGATACATCCTTTCATGTCCTCTACAATTCCACTGAAAGATGTAGATGGGCACTTCCAAAAAGTTCATCTTATAAAGAAAACAAGTAGTCTTAAATTTTCAATCTCTTGAAAGGAAGGTAAAAAATTCGAACTACCATCAGCACTGTAATAGCTAAGAAATAGATGATACTGATCATATGCGAATTATTTGTCTGTAATCTAGAATTATCATCTCTATCATAAAAAAATAGATGCAAAATTATGTTTAGCTTAGACTAGTTTCCTTTGCAAGAAATATAATTAAGTAGGATATTACATCGAATGATTGAAAAAAGTAATCCAAAACCCTATTGTGACTTTTTTCCCCTTTTACCATAGAAACTGACTAAAAATTTTGTATTTTGTTCTGAAAAAAGTTAGTTAACTCCCTTACGACGTCTTAGATCAAATGGCAATGACGATTATACCCATAGAGTCCCTAGTTCAAATTATGAGACAAGCCAAATGAAAATTTGGGAGAAATGGTAAACCCATAATAATTTTTTCTTTTGCTACTTACAGTGAAGAGAAGAATCGCAACAATAGCTTGAACGGTCTGTTGAAGAAGAACACCCTTGACAACAGTCCTTCTAGAAACCAGGTTCTTAGTGTCCTCATCTTTCCTCGAGTGCAGCCGATAATTGTCAAAGGATCCCAACAAGATATAGATACCGGAATAAAGCCAATAAACTATAATCGGCACAAAAGTTCCCAATAATTCATCCGAAACAGAGAACTCCATGGATAATAAGAAAATATACCACTACAAATGCAGTAAATTGGAGGTTTGATCCTGAAAAAACCGCGGCAACGCTACAAGCCCACCCGATAGCTCCTCCAAATAGATTCTCTCAAATCAACAAACTTAGCAGAAGCTCCAATTAGAATTGACAATAAGGAACAAAATTCAAAACGGTATTCACTAAAAGGATTAGGACCCAGTTTTAGGTATGAACAAATTAAGAAGCTCGAAATCTAATGAAGGGAAGGTCTCAATTAACAGAACGCAGAAGCATGATTGGATTAAGAAAAAGATACCCCCTAGCCAAGATGGATCAGGAGATGACCTTAAACCCTAATCTCTCACGACTTTTATAGTTTTATTAGGATAAGAAAACAAAGCCGTGCAATAGGCGGAGTCAACTGTCAATGATGGGAGGAGGGACCGAGGGAAGGGAGAGAGTGGAAGCCAAGACGAATTCAAGAGGTTTTGACAGAAAGAAATTTCGGAGCGGGTCGTTCTAGAACCGAATCTGACAGAAGAGAAAGGAGGAGGGAAAAAAGCGAGATCGTTTTCGGTGTTGGATTTCTGTTTCTTATTTCTAGGAAAGGAGACAAAGGAACTAAGAAAGGCGTAATCGTATAATAAAACCCAAAACGTGGACAAATCTGGAACCGTAGTTAGTTTCGCTTCAAGGAACCGTAGTTAGTTGGTCAGTGGAGTTGGTGGCGGACTGGCGTAGTCGCGTAGACCGTAGAGTGGAGACAAAAACATGTCTCTCTCTCTATCCTCTCCAATGCTGAAGACGTCCAGTTTTGACTTTTGACCGGCACTCTCCGTCCCTCGCACGCCATTAGGTCGGGGTGCAAGTCGGGTGGTTTGGGTCGGGTTTATCGTTAACCCAGGCCCAACCATCTTAATGTTGGAGCCCGGATCAAGTCCGATCATACTAATTCGAGTCCAGCTCCAACTGAAATGTGATGCACTCAGGTTGGCTTTGGGTCTGAGTGGGGTTTGAATTGGCCAATAAATTCATTCTAAAATTTGATATATTTGTATATCTATAATATATATAAAATTGTGGATGCAATGTGATTTTTTTTTTGGATTAAAATTATCTTATGTTTCTTTGTTTGAGAAAATGTATAAAAGTCATTTTATTATATCTTTAATTAGGGGTAAGCATCATTCGGTTAAAATCAAAAAATCGAATTGAAAATTCTGGTTTCAGTTTTTGCGGTTCGTTTTTTATTTTTAGAAATTTTGGTTCAGTTTCGATTTTCATAATTAAAAAATATGCTATATATTTATATATTAATATAGTATATATAGTATATTATAATGAAATTCAGTTTCATAATAAATAATATATAATATACAATATTTTATGTATGTTAATGAAATTCGATTTTAATCAAAAATTTCGGTTTCAGTTATTTCGATTCTCTTGTAATTCGGTTTTAGTTTAGTTTTTATTTTTGATTTCAGTTTATTCAATTCAGTTTTTAACCAAATGCCCACCCCTAGCTTTAATGGCTACTAAAATGCCTATATTTTTGTATTTAATCCATCTCTAATTGTAAAGGTTGAAAATGAAACTTCAATTATTACTTTCCACCTCATTTAATCTCCTCTCATTAAGCCTTATATTCAAGGTATAAAACTAATGCTACTAATTAGATATGTGTCAATATTTTTAATAATATAAACCCATATATTTTAAAATTGACTCAATAACAAAACCATTTCATATCGAAATGGTGGCTAAGCAATTCAACAATCTGAATCAAATTGATCAAACTACAAAATCATAATTAGGTAATAAACTTTTTAAAATAAAAATAAATATGAAAAATTAGACACACTTATAATATTTTTACTAATCAAATTAAAAAAATAAGTAGTAAACAATAATTATTTTTATTGATAATGATAATGAAATGCATAATTTAGAACTGACAAAAAATAAGACATAAAAATTAATAATAAATAGTTCAACTTTTGGGTTAATTGTGTTAACCTTTAATGTCATAAATAAATAATAAAAATTAATAAAATAATAATAATAAATATATAAACACATAAATTTTGCAAAAAAAAACATCCAGACACATGTATAGCATCATATATTTATCATATTAAATAAAAAGTGTGATATATTATTATTATTATTATTATTATTATTATTATTATTATTATTATTATTATTATTATTATTATTATTATTATTATTATTATTATTATTATTATTANATTATTATTATTATTATTATTATTATTATTATTATTATTATTATTATTATTATTATTATTATTATTATTATTATTATTGTTGTTGTTGTTGTTGTTGTTATTATTATTATTATTATTATTATTACAAATATGAATAAAATTGTGAAACTTTCTTTTGATTAAAATACTCATTTTGAATTTAGTCTCTATTTAATTGTAAATTGAACTATTACTTTTCACCTCATTCAATTCCTTCTATTTAAATCTTACAATTTTTTGATAAATGAACAAAAGAAAAAAAGATACACAAAAAAGAGAAAACACTACAAAAAGTCTAGCCAAACAGGTAGATCGTAGGCCTATCATCTGATTAATAATAAAAAACAAAATACATAAAATTTAAAGAAAATTTTGAATATATTATTACTATCATTATCATCATCTATAATTGCCACATGCAAAGCACGTGAATGCTTACTAGTTTATGTAAATATATGTATGATTGGGATGAGTTCCAACTATTAAACAATTAGGCCCAAATCCAATCCAAAAAATAAAATTACCCAAAATTTTGGACCTAAAACTAACCCGAGAACTAAAATTCCAAACCCAATTCATGTAAAATTGCAGGCTGAATTGGTCCAATTTTGAATTGGGACAACCCAAGCTATACCCCTACGTTTAAAGGGGTTGTATGGTGTTTTGTTTTCTAGAAAAAAATGCCATGGTGTTTTAGTATTTATTATCCTCCAAGACCTGAATTTAGGCTGCATTTGGCATTCCTTATTTTAAAGACTTTCTCCTCTTTGCAATTAAAATGCCATATGATGATATGAGCATAGCTTTATTTTTTGCAATAAAGAGATAGCCCTTAAAATAAGGAATGCCAAATGCAGCTTTAGTGTTATTGAAGTTCAATATATCAACCCACTTGATACTAATTTTTCATGTGGCAAGCATGCTAAAGCATCAATACTCCTTGATTTAACTCTTTTCACATGTCAACTTGTTCAAAAAAATTGCAAATCTCCTTTTCCTTTAATTCATGGTTTTTCATTCAGCAATCTTAAAAACCGTTACATATCGAATTGTTCGCATCAAGGCAATACATATTAATACTGTGAATCATGCTTGAGTAAGATATGGTAAAGAAACTAGACAAGATGGAGTTGCAGTATATGATATGGTTGTGATTTTGGGCGGTGGTGCCCGAGCCACAGGCATACTTTTTTTTTTTTGCTTTTTTTGTAAAGATAAGGCTTCTCATGTTGGATTGCTTGGGGAAGCTGTGTCCACATCTCAGCAGACAGGGATAGGGGTCTTTGAGGAAGCTATGTCACAACTCACATCTCAGCACACAGCTAACATAAGAAATCCCCAACGGGATGTAGTAGATATGAAAATTTAAGCTGTTGTAGTGGGATGACAGCTGTCACTTGCTGGTAAAGATTTTAGCTGGTTATAGGCTTACAGTAGAGCAAGAAGCTAAATAATTGGGTATTAACGCATATCGATAAATAGAGGGATACCTTGATGACCTATGATTATATCGTCCCAAACTTTCGAAACGCCCAACCCGATCCATATTGGTGTACCATATATTTCCATGACCACTGATACAAATAACGCCCAAATCCCAATACGGGGGACATATGGTATCAACATTTTGATCCTGCACGGAGACGTGCGATCAAAACCTGCTGCTTTCAACGAGATCGGGTCTGTTCCTCACACCTGACGCCTGGCAGGCGCCTTACACGCACATCCAACCATGCATTAGAAATATTTTTCATGCTTATTAGTTATTCAAGGGAAATGTTTCTAATGCACGATGGATGTGTCTGTGAGGCGCCCATTTGTGAGGAATGGATCCCATTTCCTTTCAACAGGGTTGAGAGGTTTAAGGGTTTATAGCCCAATTACATACCTAAAACAGACGCTGTTGTAGTTTTGAATATTGCACCAAACAGACCGAAAGAAATTATTTGGCTGGTAGATAGACCTGCTCACGGGCCGGGTAGGCCACAAGTTGTAGGCCGTTAAGTGCGTCGAATTTCATCCATGAGCCGCGCAAACCACGCAACACGGCCTCCCTAACTCCCTTGGGCGGTACAGCATCGGTAACGTGCAATAGTAACCCAGTGCCCACACACCCCTTAAAATTGTGTAACATGAGGACAAGGAAAGAAATCGTATACACAAATAGAATCTACAATCTTTTACCAAAAAAATAGAATCTACAATGTTATAAACCAATTTAAGAAAAAAAAAGTACAATTAAAAGCCTATTTCTTGATTTTCTATGTATATTATAATTGAGAACCTTGAGGCAGCAAAATCCACTTTTAGGCATTTAGACTAGGTTTGTTAACATAAAATGAACAGAAATATTTTTCAGGGCATAATATTTGAGCCACTTCCCTTCTATAATGGAAAGGTTGATTGGATTGTCTTCAACATCAAAACAAATCCAAAAAAATCTTGGTGATAATTAAGGGGAGCAATCTTATGAAGCTTCTACTGAGATTCTCCCAGGGACTTTCTTAGCAAAGTTGAGTCGAGTTTGTTTCTTTTTGGTAGGGGCTGGCAGAAAACAGAACAATAAAGATGGCTTATTCATCAGATGAGAATTGATGCAGCTGAAAGGAAAACTACCAAAAAACACACTCCCACACGCACCTTCTCCCTTATTACTCTTGTTGGATACAAGGACAGAGGACTTCCAGTCCTCATAGGCACGCTTCTCCATTTGTTTATGCCTCTTGTAAGTTGGAAGCTGAAAATATGTTCCATGCCATTAGGATTGAATACCAAAAAGAAAAATGGCATGGATATATGTATTTCTAACATATCAATTAAATAGACATTGAAGACCATTGAAAAAATATTTACTCAGAAAAAATCCTAGCAATATACTTCATGGAACGAAACTCAACAATTCCCATGTACAAAATGAACTCAGATGTTTCAACGAATAGAGTTCACACACAAACTTACCACCACCCTCTTGAGATGGGTATAATGGATAAGAAGCATACATAAGAAACTACTTCAATAATGTACATCATCTATATAAAACCCAAGTAAAAGCAGTAACAAATGGAAACTTACTGAGGTAGAATTGATGTGAGATAGCAAAGAAACATGAAATTCATTCTAGTTGCATTGCATGCATTAAGCGGATGAACAAGCAATTAAAGATTCTTACTTACTTCCAGCCCATCTTCATCATCAATAGAGGAGTTCTCAGATCCATCACTATCATCCTCACGCCTCCTCTTGCCAGGTAACACATCCAACAGTTCTGTTGGTGGGCAAAAGCACCAAAAGAATTAGTTAAGACCATATGGAGAGCTTGTGGCTATTATAGATGGACTAGCTATTTAAATAGTTTGTTATTTTCCTTTCAAATGGAATTACATAACATCAAAATAATTGTAGTATCAAAAGCATGTCAAAGTGATAATATTTCCTTGCTAATTCAGGGTGCCAGGCCATTGTAGAGAAATGGAACTACAAAGTAAAAGACAAACAGACAATATAGAGTGGATGGATAATCAGGAAAATTCACTGTTAATATATCAGGTGTTTACCTCGGTTTCCTTTAACAGTCCTGGGGTCTTTCTTTACCTTTGAGATCCCAAAAACATCAAAGCATAGATCCTTCATAGAAGTAGAGACCTGCAATTTTGGTTCCAAAACATTAAGAGAAAAAGAATAATTGCATCCAACAAAATGGCCAATCATAAAATCAAAAAATAAATACAGAATAAGTCTTACACTAGCAAATTCAGATTCTGATGTGCCACAAAGCTCAATCAACTTCAGCTTATCTATTTTAAGCTGTTTAGGAATAAAGCATGCAAAGGTCTGATGTAAGAAACTAAATAACAAATTATTCTAGGGGATTTGGTCAAGAGAAAATATGCAAACACAAATTGTATGTCTGTCAATTGCCTGTTGTACATAATTGAGATAGATACCTTATGCCTTATAGCACACAAATAAAAGGCAACAGCTGTAAATACAGGCCGCGTGAAGTCAGCACTAGATCGACGAGAAGCTGGCAATGCACTGAGAAACCGATCCTTGTAGCTATACATTAACATTACAAAACATTAATATTCATTATGACCAACAGGATGATACAATGCAAAGCAGGTCATTATAAAATGTAATTTATACTATCGCATTGCATATCTGCTCAACAATACCTAACTGTATGATGGAGAAGTATCTACCATAAAACGACACAATCTTTGTAGTGGAGAGAGATGAGAGACAGCCAATAGAAGGAACAATAAAGATGATGACTACAAGAATGCCTTCCACCAAATTCTAAAATGGAAACCAATTCAAGGGCATATTTCATCCGTCAATGCTAAAAAAACTTTCAAGGATCCTTCAATTCAACAGAATGCTGAATGGGAAGACAATTTTGATGAAACTCACATATATTCACATAATAAAAGATAAGAATTAGGCAGAACACCTAGGACTGCTTAAGATTGTCTGAGTCATCCAGGGCATCAGTTGGTGGATCTTGGTAATAACGAGGCAAAAACACATTCAACAAGATAATGAAACCTCCTGAGAACGTAGAGGATGGAAGAAACTTACAGAGACAAACCCTTCTGCACAAAAGGAATAAGCCTGACGCAACCAAATTGGATCGCTAGTTCTCTAATATCCAGCTTCGTCCTACAGTTTCAATTCCATTCATTTATTGTAAATTTGAACTTCTTGAATGCAATGTAAATAATTGAAAGTACCATGACATGGATATAAACATTAAACTCACTTGACACCGAGACCATTCTGCATCGCATTAAGCGACCTAGTATAAGCCTTCTCTGACATCCCACTCAATCTTATCGCAGTTTGCCGGTCAAACAAAACCTGAAATCTGAACCGATCCAATCCAGTCAAGACCTAAAATAAGAAGACCAAACAGTTTCCTTTTAAAAAACGTGAAATCACATATAAAATATGGAATAGAGAGACCACCTTGTGGCAGCGATCTCCAAGCATACTATTGCTTTACAGATTTCTCCCTGCAATTATGAATGTAATACATGAGCATTGCCAAGTTAAGCAAGAATCAATTCATCGAAGACGAAGGAGCGGAAAAGGGTAGATGCTTACAACTCCGATTATAGACGAATCAAATTGAATGTCACTGAGACGCCGAAGCTCTTCGGCTTTTCGAATTACGGATTTGGCCTCTGCAAGCCCTAGCTTTCTAGCAATGTCCGAGAGATCCATTTCCTTAGCAGCGCTATACGAATTCTAAGGAATAATCGGCTTGGAAGTTCCTTCTGCATCATATGGGAGATGGCAAATCTGAACGAAGAAATAACTGGAAAATTGGCGGGAAATGGATGCATGGTCATTCGAATTCGGCTTCCCAGGTTTCATCACTCGCGCCCAAAAACTACGAAATTTTTCCCGGGAAATTTTGTGGCGCCAAGGGAGGTGCAGTACGCTATACGGTTTATTCACTTTTGCATTTGCTCCCTTTTTAAATACAACAAACTTTCGCGATGTGGTGTATCGTGTATGTACTAGAAAACGAAAAATCTACGATACCGGAAAGTCATGTTCTTCAAATTCGAACCCGCGCCTCTTCTTCGCAAGATCTAAATTCAATGCATTGTTTAATTCCCAATCAAATCTTATCCATCGGAAGGGGGGATGTGGGTACCATGACAGTGGACGAGATAAATTTGAATTTCTTGGGCCCCATTGTTGAACCAATCAAACTTTTGTGGAATTGGGATCTGCTATTCACAATCACATTCCACCGTGCACCGCGTACATCTCCCATGAATAATAACAAAGTAGAGGATGACCCCGTACCAAGTACGGGGTTAGTATTTTTTGATAACTCTTATTTTATTTAAACAAAAAATTTCTAATTTTTTATTATTATTTCTTTATTTTTAAAGATTATTTGAATTGTAATATTTAGTTAATTAATTATTATTGTTATTGTTAAGTATTTAATTAATGATTTTATTATCATAATAATTATTATAATTAAACTTTTTACTGTAAAACTTTAAAGATTAATCAAAATGTAATATTTACTTAATTATTTAATTAAAGATTAATATTATTTTTAATTAGTAATGGTGATGATTATTTTCTTAGATTTTTATTAATATTCAGTATTTAATTACTAAGTATTGTTGTTATAATAGATTTTCTAATTACACTAAATACCGGTAATTTACATAACTTTAATGCACAATCAGTTTTTGAAGGAACTTCAATAATCAGATTCTACCTTAATTAGCCTTAAACTTACTATCCAATCTATTATTGAGTAGGGTCTCGTTCCAAATTCATGGAACTGATCCCCACCCAAGCCGATTCTAGGGTTTAGAGGTTTTTAACCTGAACCAACCTAAATAATTGGCCTTAGTTGACCTTAGATCCCAAACCCTAATGATTATAATTTGTGATTATGTAATTATGCCATGTTTATAATTCTTAATGTTGAGAAAAAACATAACTTAACAATGAGCGCTATATTTAACTTGTTTTTTTAGCATAAATTATAAAGACCCCCCTGTACTATAGAGTCTGTGACAAAGACCCCCCTGTAATTTGTTTTGTGACAAAGACCCCTTGTACTATGACCATGAAACAAAGACCCCCCTTAAACGTTAAATCAGATGATGAAATGCATTAAATTACCAAAACACCCTACTAAACTTTTTCTATTTTCTTTTTTTTTTGCCATTTTTATCTTAAAACCTATTTAACCTATTGTTTTCCCTTTTTTTTTCTTTTCTTTTCCCCTCCCTCACCATCCTCTCTCATTCTTTCTCTCTCCCAACTCTCTGAAATGAAAGGACAAAAGGACTTTTTTGGGAGTTGACGGAGCCAAAGACTCTCCTCCTGCAGCACTTGCGGAGTCAGAGCCGGAACCGGCGTCACGTCCCAACCTGAAGATCCCGTCGTCGCTACTAATCCTTCCTTTGCCATCCACGAGTCCTGCAATAATGGTAGCCACCGACCTGATGTCAGGGTCATATTTTCTCCACCACTTGACAATGGTAGATTCACCAATCTCTCTCTTTCTCTCTCTCTCTCGCTCACTCGCTAAATCCATCCCAGAGATCCAAAAGAGTTCCACTTTATTGCCTTCTATTCCTAGAACTACAGCTGAAGAAATGCACTTGCATATCCTGTATCAATATTGCTCACCAGATCAAGTACAAAAACGAAGTCCCATCCTTTTTTATTCTCTCTAAGAGAAGTGTTTATTCATGATCCATACGAACAAAACAGAAAGGAATTAATAAAGGGATGAAAAGTTGTTTTGTGTTGATATTTATAGAGTTCCATTCCAAATCCAAAGAAAAGAGAGGAAATGAAACAAACTCACATGGTATAGAGCACACCGAACACAACGAAACAAAGGATCTAACCTAGTTTCGTAAGGGGGAGGGGAAAAAGAAACAAGAAAGTGGAGTGACAGGCCTAAGGAGATCATCAAAATGGCACAGAGATATATTAATTTGTCTTATTTGACAGATTTTTCTACCGAAAAGGTGTAGATCTCTTGTAGGACGGCAGGCTAATTTGGGGGATTGTAAAACCACCATCGTCTCTCCACCGTTTGTTTGCAGTAGTCTTTTGATTGCTTGCCTCCTTTAGCTCCTTAAATCCATTTTCAAAGCTGATTTTGTGGGTAGGCAGTAAGGAGTGGTTGAGGCTTGTGGCACTTGAGGTAGCGAAGCTCCAATTGTTTTCAACATCCATATCCTGAATTTCAAACGGAGATAGATCATCACCCTGAAATGAAACCAACAATCAACAAAAAAATAGATTTCATTTATTTTCTCTTTTATCCAGTTGGGTGTAGAGGGGATTACAGATTCGTGAGGTTGGGGAAGATGAACAGTGTTTTTCTTCTAATTATTTATTACAAGGGTAGTATGAGAATTAAAAAATATTATAACGGTGGACTTCAATGAAAGGCTAACGGAAAGGGGTCTTTGTCTTACGGTCATAATACAAGGGGGTCTTTGTCGCAAAACAAAATACAGGGGGGTGTCATAGACCCCATAGTATAGAGGGGTTCTTTGTAATTTACCCTTTTTTTATTCATTGGGCTACAGAACAGGGAGGTAGGCAGGTAGCCCATCATCTCCCAATCCTGTGGTAGCAAGATTCATTCCCAAGTCTCCACTATCCAGCATTAGATTCTAAATGTTGTAGAATGTTTTAATTATTTTCAAGAAAGGTTCCTTATTTTTAAATAAAGAAAGAACAGGACACCCTAACACCACTAGGGTCAAAACCAACCTTGGATCCGATATAGACAGAATAGGTTTTGTTCCAAAAACCTAGAACCAACCCCTACAAGAAAAATTCCAAGTTCTGCCTTGGAACTGAATTGAACCGACCCATGCTCATCCCTATTACACTTCATGCAGTTCCAGACTTCGAACACCTTAGACTGGCTCACATCCACCCAAGTTGCAAGGCCAATCCTCTTCAACCCACACCAATCTCCTGATAATCCATCCATAACCATACTCTTGGTATGGTATGAGCAGAGCTCATGCTAGGCTGCTAGCAGTGAAAAATTCTGTTACTGGAAAAGTGCGTCATACACCACAAGCCCTGAAAATTGCAATAACCAAAAATAGTTTCCATATTTCCATCGATTAATTAAGCCGCCTTATATTTATCACGAAATAATGTGTTCACAAAGAGCATATGCTTCCGCAAGTGCCCTGGACAAATGTTAGTTAATATGACCCAATATATATACTCGTCACTTCAAACCCCCTGAATTTAGGAAGAAAGACCGCAAGGCACAATGAAAGAAGGAAAAGCCCCCCCCCCCCAAAAAAAAAAAGAAAGAAAGAAAGAAAGAAAACAAACAAGGCATGCATTTCTAAACCACCAAGGTAGCAGTCATCTAGTAACCAAAACAGATCATTGCTACCGCCAAAACAGTTTTAAAAGAGTCGTCAGCTCCTGTTTCTGGCTCTCTCTGCAGCCATCAGGGACTTTGCTTCCGAGAGCCAAGACCAAAGCATTGATGGCCAAAATGTAGACCTTCCAAACCCTAGCAGGACGAGTTTAACTGTCATCCTCCTCATCACCTTCTTCGTCATCATCATCTTCCTCTTCAAAGCCATCCATGCCCTTTCCCTGACAAGTACAATCAAGGAAGAAACAAACAATGGTAAATCTCAAATCTCAAACCAGTGCATAACTATGTTAAGTTGCCAGAGTCCATTCATTAGATAAGAATTTCAACTTCAAGAAAGCTCTGCAGTTGAAGCCAATGCATGATAGGACACAGTCCTCTTAATGCAGATAGTCCATCTAACGGTGGTACTTGTACAAGGTAATCAACTAAGGATTCAACTAGAGAAGTAAATAGTTAGGACTGATGAAGTCAGGACCCCATCACAGCCCTGCAATTGATGAAGTCATTCTAGGTTGTACTTATGATGCTCAAACAATTTAGCATTTATCAATAAAAAGTTAAACAATTTAGCCTATGCAGGGCGTGATTTTACAAGGACTAGTTGGTTTATTCCATTCAGAATTTGGATTGACATATTCTTTAAAACGTTTATTGTTTCTTTTCCCCAAAAATAGCATGCTTCATTTTTACAGGTACAAACACCTTGCCTTATGCCTCATGCTTTAGGAGCCCAATGTGCTTTAGTTGTGCTTCTAGCTTTACAAACATTGCCATTCATACAATTAGTGCCCATGTAATTTACCCATCTTTTTTCGGTGTTTCTTTTTTCTCTTCCCTGCTGCTCATTGCCAAAATTCAGTCAGATGGAACAAAAGTGCTTTCAACGATAAAGCTAAAACTCCCTAGAATCTTGTCAATTGAGCATTTGAAGGGATGGGGATGGGTGGCATACAAATAATTAATCCCTTCCCCATTGATTAGAATATATATTAATATTCTTGTTACTAAATTAAACTCAATAGAGACTTATCCAACTACATGGGCCCACCTACAGAAATCCTGTTTCACCAAATCCACTTTGTCGAATACATGTCCTTTGTCAAAAGCTTCTAAACTGCTTATGAGAATTCTATGAACATTCCAAGGTTCAGAGTTCAGACTCTAAAGGTAAATATGAATATACAGCGTTCAAGATGAGAATCACCTTCCCTATATTAACATTAGGCACACAAATATACTTAGCTTCCTTGAACACAAGCACCTATGGAACTGCATTCCTTTTGCTGTTTGTTGGAAAGTATGGAAACAAAGAAATAGGAGAATAATCTTCGAAGATGAATTTCGTTCAGGGACCATACACTCTTCTTTGTGGGAAAAAGATCATGGATTGGGTTCTCGTTCTTCCAGAGTTTGAGGAGGTTTCAAAAGATGTCAGCACTGGTTTTTGGAATATCCTTGAGTTGGTTTACAATCATAGTCCTTTTCTTGGCTATTGTTTTGTCATTTTCTTCTTTGGTTTCCTACTTCATGTACTATTTTGTAGCTGTTGTGATCTCTCATTACCCTCAAGTGTACCTTCTTCAACTATTAATAAATTTTTATTTTTTATTTATTACCAAAAAATGGAATAACTTTAACTTGGCACAACCCAGGAGGGCACTACCCTCCAAAATCTAGACATTATCAAAAGTTCAAAACGTAAAAAGTTTTTTTTCAGTAAATGTGAAAAGTTTCCTTTCCAAACTTATTGATTAAAAGAACAAGTTTCCTTTCCAAATCTCCAAAAGATCAAAAGAAATATCTTCGAAAGAGTACAACCTTAATAACCAATTCTATCAGAAAACCCCATCCTCAACTAATCAAAGAAGGGCTACTAGCAAAAGAGAAGAGTTTCTTTGCAAAGAAGAGGCTGAAAGGCTATGAATAGCCTCTAATAAATGCCAAAAACGATGCCCCAAAATGTAATATGAACAAAAAACAAACTTAAAAACTACTCAGACATAGGATGCCTAATGAACAACAAGGTGTAAACATTAAAATAAATAAAAAATGGTTCTGAATCCTATTGTGTATACTCAACTAAGATATACTCTAACCATCTAGGGGGTGTTAATCAATATGTATGATATTTATTTGTAAAATAAAAATAAATTCCACATCAACCAAATTGTATTTTGCTGATGTGGCAGATTTCTATTTTGAAAATGAAAATCATACATAAAAGACCCCCTTAGTTTTTGTTACATGAACCCCATTCCACTATCACACTCTATCAAGCACAATATCACCTCACTACTTCAGTTCACGTCATTTTTAGCCTCTTCCGAGCTCTTTTATAATTAATGCCGAGACCAACACTCTCAGTACATACAGAAACTACGTAATAAAAAAAAGTTGCCAAGACAAGGAACAAAATTACTTTCTTGCTCATTGAAAATGAACAAAAACAGAGATATATGTAAAGAAAGATCTGCTATCTAAGAATAATGATGAATTCAAAGTAATGTGTTGATAATCATTAATCTGAAAATGTGGGTTTATGGAGAAACTATGCCTAGTATACTTACTATTTACTTTAGCAACATTCCATTGTTTACATTATCTAAATAAAATAAAACAATACACATCCTTTTTGTAAGCCAGTGAAGGCAGCATAAAATATAAGAAATTAGATTACTAGTTTTTGCTGGACAGAAACATATTATATAAAACACCTATATGATGAAGAAATATCAAATACCATCTTAACTTACATCTTCATCATCTTCATCTCCCTCAAAGTCTTCTTCATCAGCCTCCTGCACCAAAAAGATCATTAATCAACTCAGAAGAAATAGTACAAGGAAAGCAGCAGAAGGAATAAAATCATACACCAACACAATCATCATGGATATGTCCATCCTTGAAACCAAATGAAAATGGGAAGAGAGTTACATTGTTAAAATATTTGAGAGGGTTAGGCCATAAATCCTCCTTGATTATCTCTGCCACCTACAATTTCAAAGTAGTGAGAGTTAAATAACACAGTATTATTTCAATGACAGAGAAGCATAGATGAGCATTATTTTTGTTGTTAATATGATATTGGGCAGAGTCTATACAAAGAATATTGCAAATCTTGCAATAGCCGATGAAAAAATACAGAATTTACCTCATCATGAATCACCTCTGTAATATCTTTCTGTTGAGTTTCACTGAACCAACTAAAGAAACTGCATATAAGAGAATCAATTTGAGAATGTGGGGCCAAGTATGCGCAGGTATGTATATAACATTTTGGGCAATGAATGTCTTTAGTCACTTATGTATATATTAAGTATCACTTATACATGTATTTTTAGATCAAAATACTCAAATGGAATACACCTAAGACTACATAAGCCTTTTTTTCCCTTCAAATTCAGAAAGATCATGTAACAAATAGAAAAGCATATAGAAAATGGTGAGAGCTTCAAATTAGTGAATCACGCACAATTCATTAAAAGGGAAGAGCAAGTGTTCATGTAATCCATATTTCCATAGCTCTGAAAAACATAAAAAACATATGAACACCATCTATGCTCAAATATGACCAAAAAAAAACAATTATCTGCTGGATCTTGATCTTGCACATGTGAAACTCAAGACACAAAACTGGACAAGAGATCTTTTTTTTTAATGGTTAAACTGGATTAGAGATCTTCAACAGAATTCGGGTACTGATCTATCAAAAAAAAAAAAAACATAATTCTAGTACTGAGGCCAAAATGCATGCACACGCACAGATTACATGTCACTGTTAGATTGGATAAGATAATAGACTCCTGTATACAGAAAAATAAATGTGTAAAGAACTGACATACTTGCCACCCAATAATGTTCACGATTAATCCATTTGATAGCATTGCTAAGGCTAATTACAGAGCCTTAACTTGAAAACCATCACCATCATTATCTAAGCCTTGTCCCAACTACATGGGATCAGCTACATGAATCATGTTCCATCATTCTCTTCTATTGAATGTGACATCCATTGTTAAACAATGGGCCCTTAAGTCATTTCTCACTACTTCAACCCATGTCTATTTTGGTCTTCCCTTGGCGATTCTAGCACTCTCAACCTGTAACAAATCAGTTCTTATTGATGCTGTGGATGTTTCTTGTTTGCACATGCCAAAACCATCTTAATCTATTTTCCCTCATTTTATCACCTATTGGAGCTACTCTTAGGTTCTCCTAGATAAGTTCATTTCAGACCCTGTCCTTTGTAGTTAATTCACTCATTGATCTCAACATTCACATTTCTTCTACACTCATTTTATGGACACTTTGCTCCATAGCACATTGCTTGCCTTAAAAACTGTTTTATAAAATTTTCCTTTTTTATGAATTTATAAATTTTTCCTTTTAACTTTAATGGTATTCTCCCATCACATAAGACTCTGAATTCACCCCTCCATTTTGCCCATTCTACTCTAATTCTATAGGCAACATCCTTCTCAATCTGGCAATCTTTCCCTTATTTTTTTGGTAATAAATAAAAAAGAAAAACTTTTATTAAAAAAGAGGAGAGAGAGAGAGAGAGAGAGAGAAGAGAGAAGAGATATACACAAGCAGGTGACAAGATATCACCCCGCAACCAACACCCAAAGCCCACCAGCCCACAACCCTTCAACCCTGGAAACTAGTTTTTTTTTTATCAGTGGATATTCAGATTTATTAAATCAAAGTCAAAGATAGAACAACTAATAAGAACCCGCTAACAACTTAGGGAGAGGCACGAGATGCTACCTCCCCTTTAAAGAGGGGAGATGGAAGAAACCATCAACCCTTTAGTTAAAGAACATAACAAAGGAAAAAGAAAATTACAATGAAGCCCAATACAAGGAAACCCGAGTAGCCCCTTGTTTAGCATAATAATCAGCCAAGGCATTAGCCGATCTACCCAGCCACTGAACTCTAACTGTCATACCCCTCAATAGCCATTTAACCTTTTTTAAAATATCCTTAAAGTTCCAAGTGACAGTACCGGGGTCAGCCAACCCTGGAAACTAGTTACAGAAAAAAAAATACTCAAAACCTTTAAATAGATCAGAATAGCAAAGCAAAACCCTGAATCCAAATGAAACCCAAATCTTTTAATAGACCTAGCCACAGTAAGGCCCATGCGCTAGCAAATCCCTTAGGAACCTTCTCCAGATCTTTCGTTACTCAACAGATACCTTTCCTCCAATTCCTTGAACAGCTTCCTTGTCATTTCTTCTCCTCCCAACACCACCAAACCTAGAGTCTTGTTTACTTGAACTGCATTTTCCACTACCTTGTCCACATCTACTTTCTTCTTTAACTCTCTAACTCTGTCCATCATCTCTGCCCTCCTGCTCCTCATCAGAGTTATCTTCCACTGAGATCTCCTCCTTTTCCCCAGATAACTTCTCTTCATCTATGTTATTTTCCCCTAAACCAGATAACTTCTCTGAGATATTTCCCTTATTCAGGATTACCAAACCAAGGTAAGAAAAGACATTGAGATATTTCTTGGTCCCCAATCCCAAGTTCTCCTGATTTCTATTCATTTTATTGTTAAATTTACATTGCATATATTTTTTGAACAGTAAAAGAAATATTTTTTATTGAGATTTTTTTTAAATGTTCTGAAGGGCTACACATCGGGGGGTAGCCCATCCCCCAACCCAAGTGCAGGCAGGATTCAATCCCAAGTCTCCGCTACGACCAGCACGAGACCTTACCAACCAGCTGGTTGGCACCTTGCATTTTTTTATTGAGATTAGTTAAAAGGTAAACAAGTAGGTACATCTTTCATTTCCCATGGAGACAACCCCTAGCATCTTAAACTCACAAACAAGCCTAAAGCAGATGTTGTGTCAATACCCCAAGTTTGGCTAGAGAACCTGCCAATCTATTAGCTGATCTACTAGTCCATCTGAAGGAACCCTCCACCTCTATTGCTATATTTCTGATTTCCCTTAAGGCCTGCCTGTAAATCCAAACCCCTTGACTGTTATTATTCATTCATCCCACTACCAACATTGAATCACCTTCCACCCCCACTTGTTTGAGGTTTAAATGCTTAGCAAGTTCCAATCCTTGCAATTGAGCTAATACTTCTACTCTAAGAGAACCACACTACCATATTGGGCCCAAGAGCGAGAAGAATGTCACGGTTGTCCCATAACCATCCCTCAAAACGCCCCCAATATCAGAGGGACCCAGGTTGCCAAGTGAGCTTCCCTCAGGGCTCAACTTTACCCTGTTTGGTGGGTGAACCCAAATCTTCAGTGTGGAAGAGGCAGCCACCACTCCTCAATTTCTCACCATATGATACACCAAAAAGCTTTTGAAAATATCCTACATCTTGACCCTAAGAATTACCTTCAAGTAATATTTCCAAGAATAGCATTCAATGTTCTAAACTTTCTTTAAAAAGCATGATGTACCTTTCCTCCCAAACTGTCCATAAGATTGCTACTCTGGTGACTCTCTACATTATCTTTCCTCTTCTTTTGTTAATGTTTTAAAAAGCGACCCAGAAACAGAACCGTTTTGCCTCCGGTTTCTGGGTCAGTGGTTCAACCATCCAGCTGAACAGGTCACCCCGTGACAATACAAATATAAAGATCAACAACCAGAGGCTGTACAAAAGAGAATACATAAAAACAACCAGAGCACTATCCCATGAAGCATTACAAACAGACTTTCAAAATCAAAAAGGGACCTATAGAAGGAACCTTGAATATTCAGCTGTACCGCAGACCAAGAGTACAGTTTCCCCACAATTCTCTGCCACACTCTATCCTCTTGACAGCTTTTGTTTTGGAACATCCTTGAGTTTCTTTCTTGCCAAATCAACCAGAAAACTGCACCTGAAATCAAGTTCCACAAAATCTTCCCTTTCTTACTTAGGCCTTGTATCCTCCATCTCTTCACAAAAGCATCCATTGTTGATGGGCAGCTACAACTTAATGCAAACATCTTTAAAATCCTTACCCAGATATTGTAAGAGAAACTGCAGTGCAGTAAAAGGTGGTCACCTGACTCTTCAGCCCTGTAGCATATAGGTAGGAGTCTCAATCAACAATCCTCTCCTACTCAAGTTATCTCTTGTAGGGATATTGTTCAGATAGGCAGTCCAAACAAAGAAGGATACTTTTGAAGGAATGTATTTGCACCAAATTACATGCATAGGAAATCCTGCTCTTCTTCTTGAGTCAATTTATTTAAAAGATTTCACCGAGAACTGACCTTTGCTATCTGCTAACAACACCCTTTCGTCTGCTGCATTGAGGTCAATTTGAGTGTTATATTAGCCTCTGTAGAAGCCTTCCAAAAGGAGCAATCTCCCAGTCATTTAATGCTCTTCTGAAAAGAGGATCCCACACAAGCTCCCCATCATGAGACCGGACATACTCAGCCACTTTTGCCCCCTTATTCACCGCAGCTGCAAAAAGCTCTGGAAAGTCATCCTTTAGCTTGCTGTTACCACACTAGCAATCCAGACAGAAGTAGACTCTAGAGCCCCTACCCACTACAAACTTGGTTTCCTTGCTGAAATAACTATATAACTTGTTTTATTCCCTTCCAAACTGAACAACCATAAGACTGATTTGCTTCTCCTGGGTCCCAACCTTCATTTCTTGTGCCATATTTTGCTTCTATAACTCTCTCCCACAAGCTGCTCCCTTGCTGACCAAACCTCCAAAACCATTTGCCTAGTAAGGTTAGATTTAGTTCCCGAATCCTTCTTATTCCCAGACCTCCATTCTTTTTTTGTTTGCACACATTTCCCCAATTTACTAAATGAAAATTCTTACTCTCCTTCCACCCTTCCAAAAAAACTCTCATTTTTCTCTCAATCTTAGCAGCCATCCCTGCTGGAATGGAGTAAAGAGACAGCAAGTAAACAGTAAGGGAAGAAAGAACACTCTTAACTAGTGTGAGCTTACCTCCCTTTGAAAGGTACCTTGCTTTCTAGCTAGCCATACTCTTCTCAATCCTCTCCACAATAGGCTCCCAAATAGACTTTGAGTTGCATTTAGCCACTAAAGGCGTTCCCATATACTTTAAAGGAAACTTACTCATTTTAAAGCCCCAGTAATCAGCCCAAGACTGCAACTCTTGCACCTCTCCAACTGCTACCAGCTCACTTTTATGCACATTCAAGTGTAACCCCAATACCACTTCAAACCACCAAAGAATGGCCATTAGATAGTCA